ATTCCTATAGGGAACACATATTACAATTTTTCCTTCAATTACACTCTACGACATTAAATTACTCACTATCTAATATTTAATCCCTTCAGGGTCATACATATAACAATGTCAAGGTTCTGGCCACGAAGGTTCAATTTTCCATAAGTTTTACCTATATTAATATTCAACGATACATATCATTTGGCCATTTGGCCATAACCTCAGATTCTTACGGTTACCTCCCTATTTCCCACAATTAACCCAAATCCCTAAACCTTAGGGAAACCTTAGAGCATCGTACTAATAACGATATAACACATTCATTTCTACATATTTGCCCAAATCCCTAAAAGTTCAGATTTCCAGATCTACTACTCACTAGTATTTTATGACAGCATCAAGCATTTCTCACACGAATTCCGTATTAATTCTAGTTTCGGATACACAAAACATCATACAAACAGTATTCAACAATAACAGAAAATTTGAGAACAAATCAAGTTACGAAAATTGGATTCAAGGATCCTCAAGAACACATAATTCCTATGAGAGAAAGGACCTCTCACTACCCTCTCATGTTAATTCACCCATATTGAAATCCATTATCCCCCTTACCTCGATTAATTGCTCAATCGTTGAAGAATCTTGAAGGATTGACAGCCCTAGCCTCCTTCTCTTCCTCCTTGTTCTTCTTCTCACTTTTTCTCCCAAAACATTTCTCTGGCAGTTTATCGTGTTCTAATTCTCTTTTCCCAAAAAAACTTCTCTATTTCCTTTAATCCCTTATTTCTTATTTTATTATTTAAATCCTATAATAATAATAATAATACTAATATTATTCTCTCACTAATAATAATATTCATACTAATAGTAATAATATGAATAATAATAATATTCCACCAAATAATATTATTAATACGAATAATAATAATAATAATAATAATAATAATAATAATAATAATAAAAATAATAATAATAATAATAATAATAATCTCATTAACATTATTATTAATAATAGTTGGAATAATATTAATCACTATAATGCTCTTGATATTATAATTAACTTACTCCTTTATCTAGGTCCACAGTACCCCAACTAAGGTCACCTCTCTCCCTTATTCTTAACCTCATACCCTTAATTAAGGATACCACACAACTACACCTCACAGAAAATACCAAAGCGACTGAATAATTTAAATTGGGTGTTACAATTAATATGTGTAAAATTTGAATATTTTTAAACGTTGTAAGGTGTTAACCAATTAATCCATTTGGTTAATCGATTAACACTGAATCAGCAAGCAAAAATGGCAGCTTTTCATGAAAATATGCATTGGTTTCCATTTTATTTTCTGACTGTTTTTTGCTGCACAAAATCACACTCTTTTGAAAAGGTTTTTGATCATTATAAATTGCTATCAATTTTGAAATTCCAATTAACCTTCAAGAAACAAAATCATTCAAATTACTCATTTTTCTTCATTCTTCCAATTTTCATTTTAAGTGTTCAAACAACATTTTGAAAGAAGCCTTTGAATAAACTTTCACACTATCACAACTTCCTTTCACAAGAACATTTGCATATTTGTTTTGAGTAATTTTTGTTTCAAGAAGAAGATCGATCGTGAAGATTGATAACAATATTCTATCAAAGATTTCAAAATTATCTCAAAGATCATTTTTGTATTACCTTGTTATCCAGGATTGTTGGAAACAAGTGAAGTGTTTGAAGAGGATTGTTCTTCACTCACTTGGATTACCTATAGATTAGATAGTAGGCATCACCATTGGTGTGATTAGACTGTGCAATAATTCTAAACTATAGTGAAATCTCTTTCGAGTCGAAAGGGGAGTGGAGTACTCTCGGAGTGTGAGGGGAACCACTATAAGTTTCTTGTGTCTCTTTTTCTTTCCTGCACTTTACTTTCAAGTCACTGTCATCATAACCGAAAAAAGAACCAAGAACCGTAAAAGATTGCAAATAAATTGTCAGAACCTAATTCACCCCCCTCTTAGGCGCATTTATAAGTTACAAAAAGAACATTATTGGAACAAAATGGGTGCTCAGGAACAAACTAAATGAACAATGAGAGGTGGTAAGAAATAAAACTCGACTTGTTGCTCAAGGTTACAGTGAGTAGGAAGGTATAAATTTCTCTGAAACCTTTCCATCTGTGGCAAGGTTAGAGGCAATCATACTTCTTCTCTCTTATGTTATTAACCATGGTATTATTTTATATCAAATGGATGTTAAGAGTGTCTTATTGAATTGAGTCATTTTTAAAGAGGTGTATGTCAAACAACCCATTAGGTTTGAGGACTTTGTCTACCCATATTATGTGTTTAAACATAAGATGTCGCTTTATAGGCTCAAACAAGCTCCTAAAGCTTGGTATAAGAGAATGAGTAATTTCTTGTTGGAAAATTATTTTCAAAAAGGTCAAGTTGACACTACACTATTCAGAAATACTCTGAATAAGGAAATCTTAATTGTCCAAGTTTATGTCGACGACATAATTTTTTTTCCACTAATGCCTCTCTTTGCGAAGAATTTTCTAAGACTATGCAGGCTAAATTTGAGATGAGCATGATGGGAGAATTAAAATTCTTCCTGGGAATCCAAATCAATAAAAGTAAAAAATGGAACTTATGTACATCAATCCAAGTATAAAAAAGAGTTGTTGAAGAAATTCAACCTTGAAGACTGCATGATTATGGCAACTCCTATGCATCCAACCTATAGTCTGAACAATGAGGAAAGTAGCTCCAATGTGGATCAAAATCTATATAGATGTATGATCGGTTCTTTGCTTTACCTCACTGCTTTTAAGCCTAATATATTGTTCAATGTTTATCTGTGTGCAAGATTTTAATCAGATTCTAGAGAAACTCACTTAACTGTTTTTAAGAGAATCATTATATATCTTAAAGGAACAACAAATTTGGGACTTCTTTATAATATAAAAAAATCCCTAGATTATAAGCTGGTTGAATTTTGTGATGCTGACTATGCCAGGAATAGAATTGAGAGAAAATTCACTAGTGGAATCTATCAATTCATAAGTCTTGTGAAGCTTTGTTTTAAGCATAACAATGAATTTTCCATTATCACCTCGAATGTACTGCCCTTTCAATGCAACAAATTTTTTTTTTCCATTTTTAATGTATACAATCAATGTTTCATAGCATCTCGTAAAAGCTTTGTGCCCCCCATCAATAGTAAGTGTTCAATGTCTTTAGTGTTTGACCTTCATAAATATTGTGCCCCGAAGACGCTAATCACACCCTTTGTAAACTTATCAGCACATTTTAGTGTCGTGATTTCACTGATTCTTAAATATTCACCCATATTATCAATAGATGTTCCATATGCCAACATATGAATAATAGTTGTATATTTTTGAGGCAGTGAAAAAGACTTAATTTACTTGTTGCATCAACCCTCATTTAAAAATACCCAACATATTGAACCATATCTTCTAGAATACGAAGGAACACATGTTGAACCATAATCATTGAACAGTCGATCATGTCCCTCTTCACGATTTCTCTCTTTGTAATTGATATCACGATACTTGTTAAAAATTTCACCAATTCCCTTTCAAAAACTCTTTTTTTATCAATTCAAATAATTGAATCCCTTAAAATGTTAAGTTATGATTGAATGAAAATTTCATCCTCTTTTAAATGAAAAGATGATGAAATGTATGCGCATTTATTTTAATAACAACGTTATTGTTACTTAATTTTTATGATCATTGAAGTTAAAATTTTAATTTTATTATCCTTTTTGTGATACAATTAATATTGACAATGTTTTAGAAAAATTAATAAAAAAGAATAAAAAAGGTGAGAAATGTTTTCTTGTTATAATATATTGTATAATTGAAGAACCGTTATAAATGTGAAATTGGGAAAGAATCATATGCAATCACAATGGTTGATTTCATTTCATTATAGGTTATACAATTAATTTAAAATAGTTGAATAGCAAGGGTAAACCCTGGAAAGCATCCAGTTTTTTTATTCAAAGGGAGAGAATCCCCACCCTGTGAAATATCATTTAGAACCAGCAGTGTTACTTTAAAAACTGACAACCCCAAATTACCACCGATATTTATGCGCTAATAGTAGAGATCAAAATCAAAAACAAAAAAGTTTCGTATAAAAATTGAGATAGGTAATATATTGAATATACCAAGTTATCAACCACACTAGATGACACCATGACACATTCTACAATTCTTTAGCTAGTTCTTGAAAATCGGAGACTCACAATCAGTTCACCACGCTTTGAATTTGTTACACTGGCATTTATGACAATAAGACAACACGAAAAAATATCATAGGCCGAGCAATTACAGAACTGAAGTTTCAGCTTCGAATGAACATATGATACATAACCCCAAAAACTATGGCGTGAAAGCTAAATATAAATCAAACTGAGTTGGAAGAACTGCAGAGAGAGACCATCACATACGCAACAGTTACATACAGATTTACAATAAGTTTAGAGTCCTGATACATTCATGTAAAAATGGCCCTAGAAACAGTGCATATATAAAAAGAGGAGGGGAAAAGCATCAGAAAAAACTGTGAAGGGCAAATATTGGCGCCCCCTATCATTAAGGTCAAATAACTGCAAAGAGGAATAATGATAAAAATATCACCTCTTATACACACATTGGGTTCTCCGGCAAAAACTATAAAAGTAAATAAATGAGCTGGAAGAGGTAAAGTTTGGAGAGGAGAAAATTACAGAACTATTGCTCATAAAAGTTATGTGAAAGCATCAACCACTTTTCTGTATTAATATTCTCCCACCAATGTGGCACTGTACAGTACTACCTCCAGACCACATTCCCTCAATGCAACGGATAACCAAAATTTACACCCTTCTAGGTAAAATTTCTGTTTATAATGCATGCTTCTTTGATAGTCAGCAACAACTCAGCCACCAGCAAATTTATACGTCAAACAGAATTAACAATCTGCCTTCATGAATGATTGGTTGTAGATGCTTATGATCCATTTACAGCCATCTCTGGCGACGATTTAGGGGGAACCAGGGGACGTTCCTCGCCACCCAATTCTATGTTATCGGATTTTGCATGTAAACGATCAGAAAAACTTCTAGAGGCTGAAGTATCTTTCTCCGCGTGGTTATCTTCCGCTCCTCCTATGTTGCTATCATCAGAGCTGCTTCTAGAATCATTTTGTCTGTCTTCCTGATTGTCTTCACTAGAACTCATCCTCCCTTCAACTGTCTGATCATCTGTATGAATATTGGTTGCAGATTTCTTACTGGGCAGCACAGCTTGGCTCAATGTTGAACACAAGGCAGCAAAAACACTTTCTTTAGATTTTGAATTCTTTGTTAACTTCTGCTTCTTCGCAACTTCGGGTTCTTTATCCTTTGAAGGAAGTTTCCTTTTCAGCCTGAGAGACTCCATTATCCCCTCATCTTCCTCTGATGCTTCTTTCTGCTTCCTTGGTGGTGGCTTATAATCTTCATCATCCTCGTCATCTTCATAGTCGACCAGTGACCTTCGACTGAAAATCAAGATGAACGCACTTTATTGCATATGGACTTATGAAAAATGAACAAATAAAATAGACAAGTCTACCTTGATTGCAGATGGTTTGAAGCAACTCCATTGGAAAGAATAGGTTGTTGATGACCTTTAGGATCACGTGAAACAGATGCAGACGCTGCATCCTCTTCATCACTGATCAAATTCCCCCAAGTTCAGAGACTCCATGACAAATGCATAAAAGTTAAAAGTTTATAGTAGTTAAGAAAGACGATGCGTACCTGTCCTCATTAAAGTAGCGTTCTTCCTCTTCTCTCTCAACAGCACGCTCATCAATTCGTCTTCGAAGGTCCACTACCGCAGCAGCATCTGTCCCACCATTATCCACACACTGCAAGCAAGCATGTCAACTTAAACCTATGTGCTGATTGATGCCCGGAAATCATGTAGGGAAAAACTTACCTGCTCATATTTTACTCTCAATGAGTGAATTGAAGCCAAATGCTCGAATTTCAACAGCTGACCCCAAAAAGAATCAACTAGGTGTTTTAGCAATAATTTCAGATTCTCCTACACGATACAGCATTGTCAGTGTAATATACAACATTGTCAATGTAACGTTTTAGTTGAGTAATTTAAGATCCAAAATGATAGTCATCAAGTTTAATACCTTCCGAATAAACTCAAAAAGTTCCAGAACAGCAGAGTTGAGAAGATTGTAACGATTACCATTAGCAACAAAGGCGTCTATAATTGGTTTGAGAATGTTATTCCTAATGAAATAATTTATCATATGTTCATCCTGCAGGTTAAACTTGGAATTGTCAGATGAAGTGCATGTAAAGTAGAGAAATGAACTCTGCTGATAGTATAAATAACATTTATTTTGGTTCTTAAGAAAAAGATATTGAAACAACAACAGCAACCAACTCTTATCCCACCAAATGGGGTCGGCTACATACTTTTGCCATAATGTTCTATCCAAAACCAAGCTTCTATCCAAATCATTAATCTCGAAATCTTCTTAATATCTTCAACTATAGTTTTTCTGGATCTTCCTCTATCTCTACTTCTCTAGTTGTTTGATTTCTCTCTATCTTATCTACTTACCTTACCACGGAATCTACAAGTCTTTTCTATGCCCAAACCACCCAAGTCTATTTTCCACCATCTTTTCTAATTTTACCCTATCTAGTTTTACCACACACCCAACACTCCAATATTATCATTTCTAATTTTACCCTATCTAGTTTTACCACACATCCAACACAATATTCTCATATCTGCTACAAAAAAATCTAGCTCAAAATAATGTGCTGCCAGTGAAGCTGCGCTATTGACAAAACTGATACCCAGTAACATCCTTTTCTTCTTCAACCAATTTATAATTGCCCTGAATTTCATTACAAAGAACAGTGCCTGAATCTTAAAACTTACATTGCGGGAGAGAACAGTTCGAACAAACCGGACAGCACAGACAACTAAGTATCTTTCTGCTCTCCGTGTCAGTAGCAAAATTTTCTCAATTGCATTATTGACAAGAAAATTGCCCCTGAAAGCAGGAACAAGAGATCCATCATGATCAAAAAAAATCTGAGTAATAGCACAGTATTCAATCTGATTAATGCAGAGTAAGACATACTTTATCCTGTATGGGTGATGAAGGACACAAAAGCATAGTAATTCACATATGTTCGATAATATCTCTGGTTTTGTTCCATGCTGAAACTGAACACCTTGTTCAGGACCTAAGGATTTGCAACTTGCATCGGCAATAATGTCTGAGGGACATGACGCCGTTATAACCTCAATAAGTTGACCCAAATGCTTCTCAAAGAAGATGTCAATGATAGTGTCCCTCTGTCAGATAAAACTAAAGCAGTCAACAAAACCAAGGCAGAAATACATTTCTTACCAACATTGAAAAAGACTTCCATCTTACGTGAAAGTGAAACTTTAACTGACAATTTTTTCCAACAAATCAGCAGATACATTATAAAACACAACTCAACATTCAAATATTATACCTGCACAAACAAACTTAAATTTGTTGACCACACATTAAGGTTTAAGGGCCCAACTTTTTAAACAATTGGTAATTAAAAGGTATACTATAAAACATAACACCGACAATTGACAAGAAAACACTCAATCCACTCCAGCTGTCAAATTATGCCAAACTCGCAAAATGATAAAAACAACCCCTCCCCTTAACCAATTAAAGATTTAAGAGACTGCAACATTCAACGTAGACAGAGAATAACACAAACAAAAAGGTTCAATATAATTACACGGAGCAAAGAGATGTACCAATTGAAAAATAAATACAGCCATTATAAAATATGGAAATGCAAAACAACTAATATCCAGAAATGGAACTGAAGTCGGTAAATTACTCCCTCTATTTCTTATTATATGTCGCTTTGAGAAGAAAAATAACGGTACCAAATTATAAGTCATGTAACAATACCAATAAATCATTAATGCAATTTTTCCTATAATGCCCTTAAATATTTACTATTCTTTCTTCTTCCAATTCTGTTGATTTATCTTCTTCGAACCACTGATGAAGGATAATTTTGTAAAATCCTTCATAATTTTTCTTTTTCATACAACAATCATTACATTTCTTAACATCTGTCGAAGTGTCAAAACAACTTATAATAGAAAACGAAGGGAGTGTTAAACTCAATCAAGGTTTGAGATAAGATGCCCAAGAAAATACAGAAAAAGATACCTGTGGTCCAGTCAATGTGCTTGAGTCCAATAAAATTCGAAGAATCTCAAGAAACTGGCAGTGCATGCTCTCTCCGAAGTCAGTTACCATTCCCTTAACCTGTACATGATAGCATGACCAATAATTAATGTAGAAATAGCCTTCCAAAAACCATAACTAGATACATAACAGATCAGCTTGGTGGATTTAAAGTATATCGCAACATATGTCTATTGGTGTAACAGCTGGTTCAGAATCTGTTATATTCAGTTAGGTATGGTCGTGATTATCAGTTGAAACAATTCACTATAGTTCTGACTTCTGCAATTGCACTTAGATCAGTCTGCTCCTAATAGAGACTTTCCTTTTTGTATAAACTCAACTGGATACACAGAAGATCGAATCTTCTGCCTGGAGTGATGTTTTATAACAAACTACACTATTGGTACGCTGCAAAAGTGCAATGCTCACACTTATTTGTCTCCAAATACTCGAGATTTTCGGTTAGAATTGGGTCTACCCAAACGAACTGTACCAGGTACTATTAAATTTTGAAGGTGTCTGAATAAATTAAATGAATTTTGGGACATATTTCCACTCGTACTGGTGTCTGACACATACCCAACGCCGATGTGTCCAATACACCCCAACACATATCAGAGAAGTATCGGGCAATTTAATTTTAATTTTTTTTAAATGTGGCTGATACGTTTGAGATACATGGCTATTTTGTACACGGGATACAGTTGAATAGCACAGATATGGCAAACTCCAAAAAAACAAGTTTTTTTAATCAAAAACAGGATTCCAAGATTTTTTGTTTTTTAGATTAAAAAGATAAAGTGAAATATAAATAGAATGACAGGAGCCAAAAACACGCATAATCCTTTAAACAAAACCTAGGGTTTGCCACCCATCCCATCGGCGTCTCGCAGCTTTCTTTCACTGTCGTCTCTCGTTGCACAGGTCCAATGAGTGTGTTGTCTTCTCTATGTGTACTTTGTTTCTTTTCTTCTTTTTTCTATGTGCTTTGTTTCTCTCTGCACACCTACTGCTCTTCTCTCTGTGTGTCTGTTTCATCTGTTTCTCTTCTGTGTCTGTTTCATCTGCTTCTCTTTGGGGGACAGAAAACTGACACATTCAATGAAGCCTAACACTTTGTTTGGATGTTAAAAAATCGAAGGAAAGAAAGTGAAAGGAAAGAAAGTGAGAAGAAAAAGTGGAAAATGTGAGGTGAATTTTTAACTCTTTTGTTATGTGTGAAAGTGAAGAACCCTGTATAAAAATAAATATATAATTTAATAGTCTAAATTGTTTGAGTTCTTATATTAGTAATTTGTTTAATGAAATACGTTACATATTCTTTTAGTTATTGTGTCAATGTGTTTAGAGAAGTCGCTTAAAAAAATTAAGGAAAAAAAAAACATTTCCTTTATATAATGTATGAGAGCAAAGTCGCAAAAGTACGAGTGTTATGTCTTTTACTTGATCAAAGGCTATCTTTCCTATTTCCTCTCCAATTTGGGGAGAAGCCAATTTTCATGTAGGACTCAACCGATGCAATCTTTCCTTCGCCTTTTGCAGGGAAACCAACAAGAGGTGGCTCTCATTTCAAGGAATCTTTCCATGCTATAGACGCTCTTCCCTCCACTTCCATGAGTACCAAACAATGCATAAATGTTTTTTAAAAAGTTCGAATGATGTTTCTTTCCAATGTTCTAATGGGTGTGAGAAAAAATATTAAATTATCATTTGTTTTGATCATTTTCGGTAATGGGAATGTTTATAATCATGCATAGACTATTTATGTATACATATTGTGCATTTATATATATTGTTTTTAATTTAATTTTTTTATTGAAGTATCTTGTTGTATTTGTATTGTATCTTGACTTCTAAAATATAGCCGTATCTGTGTTGTACCTATATCAAGTATTTGGGCTTCATAGGTCATCCAAAAACAAAGGATTTATTCACAAACAAAAAGTTGAATATGATCCAATTTACATACAAATCACATACCAAGAGTCCTAGAAGAGCAATTCCCTCCTGCCGAACAACATATGATCTCAGAAGATTAGGATCTTGATTCATAAAAAGAAGGAGGATGTCTGTTCTGCAACCATCACAATGATTTCCTATTAGAAATTAATCACAAAAGGAGTGTACAAACAGAACAGTCAACTGAAATTTATATAGACAAGCAACAAAAGGAAGAATATATACCCAGTTAGCACAAGCTTCTTGTCTTGACTTTGCAGAACATCGCTGATAATGTCAAAGATGCCTTCATTCATCAGATCCCTACAAACATAAAGAATATGAAACTATTACACAATGAGAATCAACAGACACCCAAAATGTAGAATGAATGGAAAAACAAAGTAATGGGTATCGGTGTTCCGAATCAAAATAGTATTGTTAAAGGTCATTTATACGAGTTCCATTCAAAAGCAGCTATTGTAGACATGATTTTTCACAATTATATATCAAAAGATTCCTCTGATAACTGTTGTAAGCTACTAATTGTTAATTACAAACTTGATAATTTATAGTATGTTAAAATACAGGAACTAGGTACATATAGCTACAGGAAATAAATAACAAACCAAAGAGAACTGGCTTTACTGAAGGCTGCCGTAAACTCCCAAAACAAGGGGTGGCAAATTAAGCATAAGAGTTTCTTATATGCTCAACCAAAGCACCTCTTAGAAATAGACAATCAACTGACCAATGGTGACCAATATCTTTTTAAGGAAGACAAGCAGCAAAACAGGTTGTGTCATGATACAAACGCAGCGTACCTAAAAAGCCGAAGCTGCTGGACCATTTGTAAGCTCTTGCTTACACTGCAAAACTCATACAAGAAATGAACCTGTTCTTCCAACATAAGAGGGAAACTATGTTTAAAATAATAATCCATTGAAAACCATGATTGATGAGCATCCAACAAGGAAGCATTAACATCTATTCATTATAACAATACAAGATATGAAGCAACACACTAGCAGTAAACCTAATTATATGATAGTTTTATAGTCATGATTCATTTTGATAGAAAGTAAAGCACTCTCCGTATCCTAATTGCAATAAAATTCTCATGTATCTACAAGTTACTCTGTTTTGGACTTCAGGAGCATGTAGATGTACAGGACTTTTTTGGAAGAAAAAGATAGATGAAAACTTAACAGAACATTTTGTTCAAGGAAATATTCTGTCACAGTCAGTATACAAAAGGTTTATTTTCAAAGACTAAATATGAATGCAACCCCTCCTATTAAACATTACATTTTAGAGTACAAGGCAAACAACTCTGATATCTTATCATGACCTACCAAGTTCTTCTTTGATTCTTGAGAGGTAGCGGATGATTTTAACCTAGCAAACAACTCCTGGATAAATGTACTGTCATCCTTCAACATAGCAATAACCTAGAAAGAAAGAAAAAAGAAAAGACAGATCACTCAAATAAAAGACAGCACCATATTAAATGATATAATTTGTTTCTCTGATAATCAAAACTTACAAAGGCATTGTTTGCATGTATTATGGAGTTAATGGTTGCGCAAGTCGCGTCATCTAATATTCTAGACAAAACAACATCCTGAAAGTGGTAAAAGAAGGTAAGTTCACATTGAAGAAGAAAAGGGGTCAGCAATAGAATTCTCTAAAAGGAGACAAACCTTTAAATAACCAACTCTATATGTCTGATGTATCTTCTCCAGAGCAATGGGGTCTTTTATAGGTATGGCCTACAAAAGAAAATAGACAATGTACTATTCACGTTAAAATTTCTGTCACATCTTCAGATCTACCCACCACCTTGCAGCACACTCAATGAAAGAGCGAAAAATACCTCCTTAAAAACAACATGGTCCTTTAAGAATTTACGATGATGCTGAACACAGGTAACTTCTGGATCATCTGCATATTGCTAAAACAGGTGGTTCAGCAATCAAAATAAGTAGAGGAGAAGACTGAAGACATCAAAAATGTAACCATCTAAATCAATGGTATATCCTCCTTAACTGAAACCACTATTAGCAGTTAAGGAATGCTATAACAACCAAGATATCAAAAACATTTAAATTTAAAAGAAAGACAGGTAGAGACAGGTAGAGAACAGAAATATATTATTATGAAATAATCTCTGAATGAGAAAAACTCATGACTCAATTGGAAAACTATTTTCTAAAGAATGCACTTACACTCAAGGGCACCGATAATGTCCACTATGAACTCTTCCTTGAAAATTCTCTCAAGAAGTGGTGGACTATTAAGTAAAACTGCAAGAGTACAGGTAACATGAATAAATAAATACAAAATTGATAAAATAGGGGTTCAAAATTAAAATGATACAATAATGAATACTAACTGATCCCTTTGACAATTTTGAAAATTGTGCGAAGGCCATCCATGTTTTCTAAGTCTTCACACACTCTAAATAACCCCATCAGCTTCCGGAAAAATTCTTGCTACATTATAAAAGACAAATGAAAAAAATGGATATTATAATATATAAAATATATATATATATATATATATATATATATATATATATATATATATATATATATATATATATATATACAAACAGAAGCATGCAGAGTCTATTCAGGACTCTTCCATACAGATGGTTGATGTGATATATAGGCTTCTAAGTACAAATGGAAAAGAAAACACATAGCACTGTGTAACCAAGCTTATGATGCACAGACAATAGACATTAGTAATATGCATTGGGCTTATAATAAAACTGGAAATTAACAGGATAATCATCATCAAAATGTCATATGCCCCAAGTGTTATGCCATACAAAGCTGTGAGATGACAGACATTATCTTCAGGAAAAGTGACTCATTGCCTAACAAACAATTACGGAAAAACAGACCACCTTATATTTTCTATGGTAACTGGTAAGAACTTCATCAATATGTTTTTATAGATAAGAATTTCGTGCAGTACAAAAATCAACATCTTATGCAAAGAAATCTAGATTTCTTTAGCCTAAGATCACTTACATTACATACCATACCACCTTATAAAGCTAACTGAAAAATTTACTGTATGCATTTAATGCCTTTAATGCAAAGATCATAAAGTGAGTTTGACAATACATGAGACACTAAGATAAATAAATAAATAAATAAAGTCATATCCTAGGTTTACCAAATGAAACACTATGTCATACTAAAAAAATATAAACTTGAATGACTAACAGACCAATAGCAACAGCGAGACAGCAACAAATTATGTGAAGTGAATGATATGAAGACAAAGTATGCACAAATACCCAAAGTTAATGGCAGCTTACATTACTTGATAGTAGCTCAGCTATTCGTATTTGATCTGAAATGCTGCTGTCAACAACGGTCTGCAAACGGAAAAGCAAAACCAATCAAAATAATATTGAAGTTTCATTTCATGAATAAAAGTAAACTGTTACTAACCCAAAAAAAATCTTAAATATGGAGTACAGTATTCAAATTAAGGCATTCAACGTATGTTGTATTACACTCAACAGTACCAAGAATTAATGATTTTTATTGGATAAGAATGTAGAGAAAATCAATATCTCAGAAGCAATAACAAGGTGAGAATGAAACTTCGGTTTATTAGATGAGAATGAATACAAATTCAGTATACACAACAACCATTAAATTACATGTGTACACGGCAAGGTTCAGGTATCATCACAAATAGGTTTACATTAACACTTCTACATTCCAAATAGAGATTGCTTCAACAGCATCCCTGTTGATGAATTTTCAACACAAGGTCCAATGTAGAATATTGTTAACAATACTCTCAGATCAATCAACCAAAACTGAAATTATTAACAACTGCATGTGTCATAAGATTGAAATTGCTAAACCAACCAATATTTTTTATCCATAAAGAAATGTTAAGGCCATAATTAACAACTACAGATGGAACCAGTGAAAAGTAAAAGGAAATATTCACCACATGAGATAGATCAGAGTGTCAGTGGTTCAAACTTGGGAGGTGGGTAGTTTGTTACACAAACCTCTAATTTTAAGGGATCTGACTCCTAAAGCAACTAAGCAATTAGGACAATTTACTCTAGAGAGAAAACAAGAACATCTAAAACATATCCTATCTTAAAGATTGATAGAAGAACATAATACTCCTCTTTGCTTAGCTGGCAGTTTGTTAGGCTAGTAATAATTCAATTAGAAGCAGTTGCAGGCTTGGAGCTGTTGGTAACCACCAGTGTCACTATATATACATGTACTGTATATAATTTCCATAATGATATACTAAAGGGTATGCGTTGAGTTCAGATGTTATTGGTAAAGTACAAGGATTTCATTTGGCGTTCTTTGGATGGAAGCAGTCAAACCATGGCATTTATACCTTTGTTTGGTGATGAAGGTCATGAAGATGATGATGCTATTAGTTTCCTTGGAGTTGATAGAATGGCTACACGTGAGTCCTATATTGTTGTTGTTGGAGGAACTGGTAAATATGAAAATGCTAGAGGGTATGCGAAAATTGAGACGTTCCATTTAACTTATGATCGATACAAAAGGACTAATAATGCGATGGAAACACTTTTTCAGATTACTGTCTATTTATGATTATGATAGTTAGATTGTTCTTTTTTTCCCCTTTGTTTTATAATAGAATATAATTCTTTGTAGGAGAAGATGTAATACTACTATGTATTTGGATGAATGAATGTGTAAAATATTTATTTACGTGCTTATCTTGATCGGTTGTTTTATCCACCATCGTGTGATTTCCACTACGTGTCTTTTTAATAAATAAAGCTCTTTATTGAAGAAAAAAAATGACGAGGATGAGGTGCATCTACTTAATTTATCAAAACTAACAAAAATGTAATTATTTAGACCAAAACTATCTCAATCACATTGTGGTAACGTAGTTATCTAAATCAAATCTGCACAGATATTCACTTCGCAAAAGATATGGAAGAATTTTAATCTAAATGAAGGAACAATGTGCATGCTATTTCTCCAATCAATCAATAACTTCCAAGGAACCTACTTTTCATTATAAAAGACTTGAATTGCAAGGGCTGAATTACTCTCTAACCATAAGTGGTTCTATCCCATGTGTTCGCATGGTGGATAGCTAACATAATGCCATGTGGTTCTGCTTGAAAAGAAGTGGCTATTCCTACCTTAGCTGAAAAAGCTCTAAGAAAAGTGTCCAAATAATCTTTGAATGTGCCGCTACATGTTGAGGCCCTCAGATTTTCTCTAAAAGATCTATCTGTATTGCAATTGATCCAACCAAAATTTCCCCAAGACATGTTCATTGGCTTATGCTATGATTGCAGTGTTAGAAGTACCGAACCGAAAACAGAAAAAAGTGGTCACCAACTAATCTAACAAATTAGAACTAAAGCTGATTAACCAATTCTATCACTGTTAAAGTCAAATCACTGTAGAATTGTAAACTCGTAAACTACTTGTAAAATCGAGAGTTTACAAAATTTATGAAAGTTAACTTGAAGTTGTAAGACTTTTATCAAAAAGAGAGTTTGCATGCGAGTTAACCCGTTTTTTCAAAAAGTGAGTTCACATCAATTTCTTCTTCCATCTGTCTGAGTTATAATTCAATTAGAAGCAATTGCAACTGTCAGAACTGCCTTCATCTAACAGAGTCGCTGTATATAACTTTCATAATGTCAGTACACAAATATACAGATCAGTTTCTCCCTTCATTTTTCTTAGTTTCTGAAACTCTTTTAGAGGGAGTTTTTAAATTTAATAATTGATATTTAAGTTAGGGTGGAAAATATCTTCTGAGGTATGCATTGCAGACCATGTTAATGGATTGTATAGGTTAAAAGCAAAATGTTGGTTGAGAAATCAGGTCTCTCCAGGAACAAACGAAAATTTAGGTTGAGAAAATACCAAAATGTATGGTAGACTAAAAGCAAACAAAGCAACAGTTTTCAGACTAAAATAATTATTTGAAATGAAGAGACAGATTGAAGAGAGATATGATGGACATGTAATTTAATGTTATAAATCCACAAAAATAAGCAAGAAGGTTAAAGCAATAACCAAACCTTAAGAATCAAAGGGAGTGTTGTTAGTTCAACAGCAGGCAATTCCTTCAACTCACTGTTAGTGCTCTGAAATGTCTCACCTGATAAATAAGAACAGAAAAATACAGCCACGACAGCCGGACATGGGATAGAAATAGTAAATAATCTGATTTGGCAAATAAAGCAAATGCAATGGTAAAACACTAAAATAACAATTTGTTTTGACAAATATTTCAGCCTAACTTTTTTGGTCCAAGAAACGGTAAGATAACATGCAAACATAAAAGAGTCCTTTTTGGAAGACCCAAAAAGGCACATCCTACTGACATAGGTAATAATGAAATTTAAATCTATGTCACTTACTATTTAAAGTACTGAAATGCATATTCCTCTGGACATTGCAAATATGGTCCCTGAAAGAAACAGCCATAGTAATTAAGCTCAATTCACAGCATCCACAAACAAAAGCCCAACACCAGTTATTCTCAGTTACCATATGTAAGAGCATCCGCTAGGCTCTTGAAAGCTAAGCGCCAGTTCTGTGGCATATTCTGGGTCCCTCCATGAGATTATTGAATCTGAGCAAAAGCATCCAGCAAAAATATAGATGTAATGAACTATAAATGTCCACCGGAAGATGAATTGCAATGCCCGTTATTGATGTGTGTGTAATGTATAGATAGAGTGTATAAAGTTGCAAATTACCTTCTTGCTTCCTATAAATATCATCAGAACTGACACGATGCAAGAGTATGGTCTCATTGTCTTCTTCATCATAAACATATAAGCCCAGATCCTCCGATCTCTGCATTATAAGATATATGATATTTTATATAGTTTGAATGCAGGTAATTTCAAGGTTTGTCCATTTGAAAAATAAAAGCCATCAATAATAAATGACATAAATTTGTATAAAGTAATATACACACACACACACACACACACATATATACACACACACACACACACACACACACACACACACACACACATATATATATATATATATATATATATATATATATATATATATATATATATACATATGTACATATATATATTCAACATCAACTCTTTTTTTTGGGAAGAATTCGACATCTATTCTTTTGAGTACTATGAAGCATCAACCTCGCTGATTTTGCCATTGGAAAAGGGAGGTGCAATAGTAATCAGATATAAAAAGAAAGATGTGACCATCAGTAAAATTAATACACTTACTAGACTCTAAGGAGAAAATGATTTAGTAACAAGTATTATAAATTCATTATTCAAAGGACAAAAATATAGAGCAGTCTAGTTCTACAATTGGCATAAAATTGATTTTGGATAAAAGTAAGTTGAATATAAAGTGATTTATAACTTTATACATTGATGTAAATATGAGTTCAACAATTAGTTTGAGAATTAAAAATCACGTTTGGTGGAGACAAAAGCTCCAAATTCTAGCTTCAAATTAGAACATTTTGGAGGCAAAAGCAATTCTAGTAGATAACACTCAATCATATCAAAATAAATTTTAGGTTCCTTAAATCCCTTTTGCCTTTCATAAAAGTGAATCCAAGCATTAGATAGTGTTTTTTTGAAGACATGTAAAATTATTTTATGAATGAGATGGGAAATATAAGGTACTTTTTACTTTGTGAAAACATTTTCTATTTTTATTTTCTAAAATTTGTGGTAATTTTACTTGCTAACAAGGAGATACTAGACTCTTGAAGTGACCAACTGTGTGCTTTTTTCGAAAACAATAAAAATAGAAGAAAAAAATTGTTTCATAATTTCCATAATTGTATCATTCCTCCTAGCATCTCACCTTCTCTCCGTCACAATGGTTCACTTGAAGAGTCTCGCATCTTCTTAACAGAAAGTTGAACACATTTTAAAAAATGAAAATCAAAAATGTTTAATAGTTGCTTATTTTGAGATCAGAGGAGATGTGTATTTTTAAATTAAATATTCCTAGGATTACTAAGTACTTACCACACACTGTGAATTATACCTTGAAAAAAACCACTTCATAAGGGAGAAAGTCAAGCAGATACATGAAGTAGTTATGTCAGTCACAGATGAAAGCTTCAACCAAAAAAAGTGTTGTATACCACATTAAATCAAATGGCATCACTATTTGGTGGGTTTCATCATGAACTTATTAACCAAGTCATTATGTCACATATGAAAGTGCGCGAAAAAGATTTACAAACCTCCAAATAATCAATAGTTACATGCCCAGTACCCTGGTCATCCCATTTTCCATCTTCATTCAGACGGTACACCTTGACCCGCTGAAATCCCATTAGAAAAGAGATAAGTAAAAAGTATTTTTTAAAATAAGCCTCTCAACCACAGAAAATAATCAATAATATATGCCTATGAACCACTGACAATAGCAGTATAGAAATAATAAAAACACATTCCATGTATGTAAGAAATTATATATGCCTAAAATTGTATCACGGTATTGAGGGAGGGGAATGCAAACAGAGTAACTGCTCACTCTTGTCAAAACAGCTGAAACTTAAATCATAATGACTATGCTAAGTCATTTTTTCTTTTTTATTTCAAGAAAGAAAAAAACAACTGCAGGAAAGGGAAATATCTAGCAGTTGCAAACAAAAACAAAACAGAAAGGAAAAAAGATCCTATGAGCTGCATTAAACAAGAATGTCCTAACTTCTCTTACACAATTATAGGTGGAAATAAAATCAGGAGTACAAAACACAGAAAAAATATAGACAGAATTACATGGCAAAAAAAACATAAGTTTTTCCTACGTTCACAGTAATTGATGATCGTGAAACCTGAAAAACAGAACTATAATTATCATGTATCCTCGCACAATTATTCTGGTCCCTTCTCTTTCAGTTATGACTACCATACAGAACCTGTAATGAGGGAATATTTACACCAGATAGGATAACTACTGCGCTTACTTGTCAGATTGAGATGCATAAACCAAAACTTAAGCATTAGAAAACACTACATATTTACGGATATTATAGAGCAAGTGCTTATTGCTCAGTGCCTGTTTGCTTATATGTTTCAAGTGTTGTAGACGTACGTTTTTTCAACACTCCAATTTTTGCATTGGAATCTGTTGCAGACTCATGTTTGCTTGGCCAAAAGTTTACCCAAACATACACTTAGTATTGAATAGAACACAACTCTCGCATGGAAAAGAGAGAGTCTGAAATAAGTTTATAAAAAGTGGCAATCCACACCTTCCTAATCGGTTTTGTAAGAATTAGTGATGTCAATTGCAAATAGCATAAAATAGTGGATAGTTAAAATTCCACCATGCAATAGTGCTATAGCGCCGCTAACATTTTGTACTAGCATACATGTGGAGGAAGGGGATTTGGAGAGAGAGAATGGGATATTTGAAGGAATAATAGGCAAGTGTACTCGTGTGGAGGGAACACGGACAAATAGGCATTACTAGAATTGTGATGTGTTGGATATTTCGCTTACATTGCGGTCCGCCCCAAGCTACCTGATTGCAGCATTTGGATTGTCTTCCACGCAGCCTCTAAAACCTTCATGTGTTGGATGTGAAGGGGTGGATTTAGTCCAACATTACCTAGAGATAAGACTTGTGTAGTGATTATAAAGTTTGGGTAGCCCTCGCCTTACAAGCCAATTTTGTAAGGTTGAGTTAGGTCCAAACCAAATTTCAAGACAAGGTTTTGGGAGTGGTGTTGATAGTAGGAAAGTGGCCCCCTCTCTGGTTATCATCTATCTTTTTTAGCTTTCTTTGTAATCCTTCATTACCGTACTTGAAAAGGAACATACTGTCTGTTCTTCTATTAATACCGAAGTTGATTGATTAAGTGTTGGTTCTTAAATTTTGAGTTGATTCATATCAAATACTAACAAACAAATGAGGGGCGTATCCTTGTCGATAGGTATAGGCATGTGCCCCTAGGAAGGAACACTACTATACATGTGCTGACTTATTCCCACAAAATTAGAGAAGATTAGCTTCCAAACATGGTTAGTATCAAATGAACTAGCTCTCGTACACACCAATAAAGAAAACCAGTAATCCTATCAAACAATTCCATTAAAATCAACCAACATTAAAACGGGCAATTGATATTTGATATCACACTTTCAAGGTACATAAATTTCACTCAGTTGGAATAATATGGTTTGCCTACAGGCTACACATGTCTATGGGACAATAACTACATATTAAATAGACTGCTTATAGTAAAAACATATAAATTACCTACACAAGTTTAAGAAACAACTCAATGAAAGTATAAAAGAACATAGTTCAGAGATAGAGTAAAGTAAATCAGTCCGGATGAATTAACGAAAGTAGCAACTGCGTACACCAGAAGCATTCAATTAACATAATTGAAGTTCCAACTCCAAACAACACCGAACAGTAAAATTAAGCATCAATTACCATCAAGAGAAAAGCGAAACGTTTCCAATTACAATAGAGCTAACTTGCCTGCATCGAACTAGCGTTGGTCTGTGATTTCTCTGGCGCTGGCGCTCCCATCGCAGCTCCTCAAGATTCAAAGCAATAACGAAATACACAATCTCGGGAACACTAAATTAGGGTTTTTAAACGAAGGAGAATGGGAGAGAAACAATTGTAGTGAAGAGATTGAGCTTCGTTGGATCAAGTATCAACAAGAAACCCTAACGGCCATTGACGTAGCAGCGTGAAGTTTCTCTTCAATCTCTCTCTACCCTCTTCTCTCTCCTCAAGACTGACCCCGACCTATACGATTTGCAACAAAAAAATACAAATTACTTAGCACAATGTATAAGTATGTGGAATCTCGTTATTGCCCCTTGAGTTTAGGGGAAATTATGAAATAGCCATTGACGCGCCTGATCCATGCCATAGAACATAATTGTCATTGACGTACGTTAAACTAAACCTCTACCCGTTATTAATGTTTTTTAAATTTGTTGTGTTTTTATACAAAAGTTAGCAAATTTTTCTAATAGTTTATATTTTAAAAGTAATTAAAAAATGAAGGAAAAAAAACCTATAAAATTTGTAATTAAATGAATTTGCTTTTTAAATACAATTTTTTATTGAAAAATAAGAATAAAAAACAGTGGGGTTAGGTATAATTAAATTTAATTAATTAATTTAATTAAATTTTTCATTTTTGAATAGTTTAAATTCGTATCCACAAGATACTAAGGAATCTCTTTGAGTTTAATCAAATGTTTTACGTTCGAACTCGGTCTGACACGCAACAATGTTAAACTTGTTTGAGCGAGAGTTTTATTGTCCATTATGGTCATTTTCAACTCGAGAAATTAGTGTATGTCATTGTGGACAATTTGACCTATAATTTTTCTTGATTCATCGATTTAATATTTCATCTCTTCTTAAATATCTAACTCAGTATTTGACACGTAACAATGTTAAATTCGTTTGAGCGAGAGTTTTGTTGTTCATTGTGGTCCTTTCCAACTCGAGGGATTAGTGTATGTAATTGCATACAATTTGACCTACATTTTTTATTGATTCCTCGATTTAATATTTCATCTCTTCTTAATTACTCATAAATGGGAATTAAATCAACCATGGCAATAGGGTCAATCCTGTAACACCCCAAATTCTTGAAATATTTATTTAATTTATTTAAATATGAATATTCGTATTTTTGGTGATTTTTGGTGGTTGGTGTGAATATTGGGAATTATGGAGTTTTGAGTTATTTATTTAAATAATAGTATATAATATGAATATATTTTGTATTATTATTAATTTAAATAAATATAAGTTAATTTAAGGGCAATGTGGACATTTGAGGAGTAGTTAGTGAGTGTGAAATTGGAAAGCTCATTTTAAAGGCCCAAAGTTAGGTTTAACAAAAAGGAATTTTTAGGAAATTATGATTCATTCTTGTTAGATCGTAAAAAGGGAAGAAATAGATACCAGAGTTCTGAGGAAGAGGATTGAGGCAAAGCTTCACGAGGTTTCCAAAAATCAAGATGAAAGGCTTAGAGTCAGCAATTAAGGTATGTGGAGTATTGTCTTCATTCTTTTCAATATATGATTCAATGTATTTAAAGTCGATTTAAGAATTTAGGAGGTTTTTGAGTTTGAGGAAAATTAGGCATTCGTGGCCAAATCTGTTTTTGAGGATGTTTAAGTATGGGGAGTATTATCTTCATTGTTTTCAATATGTGATTCAATGTATTTAAAGTCGATTTAAGGGTTTAGGGTTTAAGGATTTTGAGTATTGAATTGTTGTTGTCTTTCTGGTGAATTTAATGAGTTTGAGGGATTTGAACTGATGGTCTAATAGGTTTGAGATTGATTTGGGAGTAAGGGAAATTAGGCCTTCATGGCCAAAATCTGTTGTTGAGGTTTTAACCGTATAGGGTAATTGATTGTGAGAACTTTAATGAATGTGGGAAAATTGTAAGAATTTGATGGGAATTAAAGGCGTAAATATGATACGAGATTGGCCTAATAAGTCGTAGATTTTGGGCCTTTATCACCGTAATACCTTATGAATGATTGAAGGGTGTTTGGGGGGCATGGGGAAGGAGATTGTAGGGACTTTTGGGTTGGTTTTGCTACTGGTGCGTGACAGCGATTTGCTATAATCGCGAGTTCGCACGGCGAACATTCGCCCCAGACTCGCATGGCGAACTGTCCAGGGAACGTAGCAGAGTTTCGCGAATTATATTTTTGTGCAGTGTTGTCTTGATGCTTTGATGTTGTGATTTTTTGGATGAATTACGTTGAGTATAACTATGATTCATATGTGATTAATACATGATTGTATAATGATTCCTTTGAGTAATGATGATGAGTTATGATGTTGATTCCATAAGTTTTTGATGATTATATGATGACATGATTATTATGATAATTTTGATTAATGATGATGCACCTGATGAGTTTATTATGAGGATGATATTGACGTGTGCATCATGCATTCATATGCATTTCGGACTTCGGTCTAATGTTTGATTCTTGTGGCTCCAATCCCATTGTGCGAATGTAAAGTATTTTGATATGCTCCGGTTCTCGTGTAGAATCTATCGTATTGATGGGGATCTATGGAGGGTGATGGCCCAGTGTCCATCGAATTTCGATGAATTGGTACCACATGCATAAGTCTTGTTGCATTTGCATTTATGTGACAATTTGGTGTAATTTATGATGTTATGACTTTTTTATGTTTCCTTGATGATTATGGTGATGTTGGATATGAAAATGACGTTATTTTATATATTGATTCTTATATTGATTATTATGAGTCGTTTTACTCACCCTGTTTGTTTGAATGTTGTCTCCACGTGGGTAACGTGCAGATGACCAGGTTTAGTCGTGGATGCCGTCGAGGACTTTTTGGAGTTTTTGACATTTTGGTTGACTTATAGGGTCTTGCTCTGATTGTGTAACATCGGGTTGGGGTCTTTGTGTTAAACCATATTTTATTGATTTTTTTTTATTTTGATTATGTTGTTGTGCAAGGAAAACTTTGGATTTGCCTTTTTGAGTTCTGCTGCCATTTGAGCAACTTTTGAGTAATTTTGGGAAAACCCGTTGTTACGGAGCATTAACTTTGATTTGAATTATTGAGAAACGTATGCCCTTTGAGGTGGTTTTTATTGTGTTTAAAATATTACTCTGATAAATGTGATTGATTTGCCATTATATTTCTGGGGTAGAAAAGGGTGTTACATTAGGGGTATCAGAGCAGGTTGGTCCGTCCGACCAAGTTGTCTAATGTTATTTGTTCCCCCGTATGCGATATGTGCGTGAAAACACTGTTGGTACACGTTTGTTTTCTAACCTTTGTCTGCAGAAGTGGGGAAGAAGCTTGTGCTTCTCCAGGATGCTTCAAGTGTGGAGTGGTGGCTGAATGTGTCGATGGATGCTTTTATAGTTTGGTAAAGATGGTTTATGCTCCGTCATGAGTTTCAGCTGTTTATTGACAAATTGAGGAACTGATCACCCTTAATCTCTTATTGATAGTAGATTGAGTCATGTTAGATGGGATAGACGTGTCTTACAAGCTTAGATGGCGTGTGTAGTGAATTGTTTTGAGTTAAGCTAAGTGCTTACAGATTGTTTTGGTGAGTCGGTGCAAGATGGTGCTGAGATGTTTATTTTGATGAAAACTTTGAGTGTTAATAAAATGGGGAAGTTGGTGGTGTGCCAATTATTTGTGATTATCCGGAAGTTTTTCCTGATGAGATAAGTGATTTACCGTCAGAACGTGAAATGGAGTTTACGATCAACCTAGTTCCTGGAACTAGTTTGGTAACGATGGCTCCATATCGTATGTCCACATCGGAATCGAGGAAGTTGAAGAGTCAACTTAAAGATCTGCCTGAGAATAGATTCTTTTGTCCGAGTGTGTCACCGTGGGGTGCACCAATTTTGTTAGTTAAGAAGAAAGAAGGTTTTGTGAGGCTGTGTGTAGACTCTAGACAACTGAACAAGGTGACTATCAAGAATAAGTATCCGCTTCCAATGATTGATTATTTGATGGATCGGTTGGTTGTTGTAAGTGTGTTTAGTAAGATAGATTTGAGATCTGGGTATCATCAGATTCGTGGGAAGCCTGATGATATTCTGAATACAACTTTTAGGACGAAGTATGGATATTATGAGTATTTTGTGATTCCATTTGGTGTGATTAATACACCATGTGTATTTATGCAGTATATGAACGGGACGTTGCATCCTTATTTGGACAAGTTTGTGGTTGTGTTCATTGATGATATTTTGATATATTCGAAGAGTAAAGAGGATCATGTTGAGCATTTGAAAATTGTGTTATCAGCGTTGAAAGAGAAGCAGTTGTATGTAAAACTGTCAAAGTGTGAGTTTTGGTTGAAGGAAGTGAGTTTCCTTGGTCACATGATCTCGAGTAGAGTTATTGTGGTTGATATGTCGAAGGTTGCAGCTGTATCGTAATGGGAAGCTCCAGAACCTGTTTTTGAGATTAGAAGTTTTCTTGGGTTGGCAGTTTATTATCTAAAATTCATTAAAGGGTTTTTCCAAGTTATCTTTGTCATTAACGCAACGGACTATGAAGGTTCAAGCTTCTGTTTTGGATGCAAAGTGTGGAGAAAGTTTCAAGAGCTTTTGAGAAGGCTGACAGCAGCTAATGTTTTGATTTTTTGCCGAATTCGGCAGAACTTGTTGTATATTGTGATGCTTCGTTGATGGGATGGGGAGGTATGTTAATGTAACATCAACAAGTTTTAGCTTATGCTTCAAGGCAACTTAAAGTGCATGAGAGGAATTATCTAACGTGTGATTTAGAGTTGGTTGTGGTTGTGTTTGTGTCGAAGCTTTGGAGGCGTTATTTGTTTGGTTCAAGATTTGAGATGTTTAGTGATCGTAAGAGTTTGAAGTATTTCTTTGATCAGAAAGAATTGAATGTGAGGCAAAGAAGATGATTGAGACTTCTGAAGGATTATGGCTTTGGTTTGAATTACCATTCGGATAAAGCAAGCGTGGTAGCTGATGCATTGAGTAGGAAATCTTCGCATATACCGATG